TCTCTCTCTTTCTCTCTCTTCTTCTTTTATTTATTTATTTATTAAGTATACAGTATTCTTCCTGCATGTGTATGCCTGCATGCCAGAAGAGGGTACCAGATCTCATTACAGATGGTTGTGAGTCACCATATGGTTGCTGGGAATTGAACTCAGGTCCTCCGGAAGAGCAGCCAGTGCTCTTAACCACTGAGCCATCTCTCCAGGACCCGCCCCCATCTTGTATTCTTGCTGAGACCATTTCAGGTTTAACTAGAATTTGATCTCCTCAATGGAGAATCACATGGATAATTACCAAACTCTATTCTAGAGCCTGAAGTCAAGATGCCCCCAGTGAACTTAACTTCTGTTAAACTTTGGCTTGTCCAAACTTCCCTCTATAGCTAACAGCGTATCTTGACTTCTGTTAAACTGCTTGCTTGTGCAACACCCCCCTCTTGCCCTCCCAGCTACTGAGATTCCAGGGTGTGTGTGTGTGTGTGTATGTGTGTGTGTGTTTTCCTTTAAAAGACCCTTAGTCTAAATGCTCAGGGCTACACTTGGGTCCCTGAATATATGGGTGTGGTCCCAGCTGGCTGGAATAAAGAGTTTCAGTTGGCTGTAAACTGTCTGAGTGACCATCTCTGGTGGGCTCCCCATACAAAACCACTAAGATGTCCTATAGCTAGAAGTAGCCTCATGACTATGTTTGACCAATGAGATATAATCAGAAATCTGTGCTTGGGGCTTTTTAGAAAGTCTTTTTATGTTTTTATTGCTGTTGGTTTTTATTTATTATTTTAATATTTATTTATTATTATGTATACAGTGTTCTGCCTCCATGTGTCCCTGCAGGCCAGAAGAGGGTGCCAGATCTCATTACAGATGGTTGTAAGCCACCATGTGGTTGCTGGGAATTGAACTCAGGTCCTCTGCAAGAGCAACCAGTGCTCTTAACCGCTGAGCCATCTCTCCAGCCCTGTGGTTGGCTTTTAAAAAAGATTTTGAGACAAGTTCTATGTAGATCAGGCTGGCCTTGAACTCAGAGCTCTGTCTGCCTTTGCCTCCTGAGTGCTGGGATTAAAGGTGTACTCCACCCATTCCCAGTTAGGAACACCTTTTAAAAGCAGGCCTTAGCGAGTTCCAGGACAGCCTCCAAAACAATACAGAGAAACCCTGTCTCGAAAAACCAAAACCCAAAAAACAAAAAAACAAACAAAAAAAAGGCAGGCCTTCCTCCCTACCTGCTCTTGCCCCGTGGGCTTGGTGCCTGGAGCTGTGGTAGCCTTGCAAGAGAATGAGGCAGAAGCCATAGGGTAAGAAGGAAGGCTGTGTTATAAGGATGGTGGAAGAGCCAGGAGCCGGAGTCCCCCGTCATGTCCATAGTGCCTTCACCAGCCTCAGGCTGGTCACCTGGAAAGTCTCGGTTTTACCCCACTCATCTGAGCAAGAACATTCCATGCCTTCTGAATAGAGGATACACCTCAGTGCGATCTTGTGTGTGAGTCCTCTCTCCTCCTCCCCACCTACCTTTCCAGGTTTGTTAACCCCCTCCTGGGTGGCCAGGGCTGCTCTTGTCTTACTGGAACCCTTCGTACCTGAGATCTCTGTGCTGTGAACTATCTTACCTGTTCTTGTGTTACCTCTGTCTCGCCAGGCAGGGTTGTGGGAACTTGGGAAGAGTGCGCTTCAGAGTAAGACTCTCTGAACCCTGGAATTCTCGGCAAGCTGGTTTTGATCCAGGTCTCTGCCTCCCTGGGGTTTTGGCAAGCCGGCCTCCTTGAGCATTGAGCTGGGCACTTGGCACTGGAGGCACCCTGGAGCTGCTATTGTGTTGACTTGTTGCTAGGTTGGTGACCATTTAGCTGTGTCTCTTTCCTGCCCTTTGTGGCTGTGTCTCTCCTGATTTGCATTTCAATGAGACTTGTCCTGAGTCAGAGTTACACTCTTCCTAAACTCAGGTCCTAGATTCCTGGTATCAGTCTTCAAACACTCGATCCGGGGCCGAGGGCAAGAGAGAGCTTGTATGCATAACCCAGGGTGTGCCATGCTAATTTAAAGACTTGAATGAGTTTATCTATCTCTTAGGGAAAAAATGAAAGCATTTAGGTCCAGTGTTGCCAGGCAACAGGAGTGGCAGGAAGGCCTTAAGACGTTTAGCTTTTACCCAGTGCACACCTCTGTGACAGGTGAATAGGCAGGCCTGCAAGTTTGCTATCCTAACCTCCTTGCCTCAGGCTCGTGACAGAAACCTGGATCAAATAAGTGATCCTGAGAATTGCCCCACAGCAAGCATTTCTATCACTGAAAGTTTAATGAGAGATGCCAGTTTTACCATTTGCAAGTTATAAGTGCCTATCACACACAGGCCTAAGTGGGGATGGATGCATTGAGCTGGGCGGAGAATGAGAAGTCACCATGGACGTAAATAGCATGCTAATATGTCCTGACGGTGTGGTCCCAAGCCACTCTTCTCCGTTTCAGTGAGTATCACTCACAGGACCCAGCCAGCCGAAACTTATTTCCATCCTTCTTACGGCCCCGCTCTATGACAGGGAAGAGTGGGTAGAGTCATCGAGGGCAGAGCTGCATCCAGGCTCACTGTGATTGCCACTATCCCCTCCTGTGGCTCTCAGTGCCAGAGCTGGCCACCCTGCTGCTTGGGCTGGTAGGAGCAGAGCAGCTGATGTCTACAAAAGGAGGTATGAGGGCCCGAAGGGGGTTGCTGGGAGAGTTGAACTTCTTTTCTTGGTTGTGCATGCCTTGTGGTTTTGCTTCTGGGCTCCCATTGAGCCCTTTCTTGCTTACTTTGGAGGCTGAGAACAGCCCTGCTACAGGAAGTTGTTTACTTTGATCTCTGTAAGTCAGTATGTCTATATCTACATTTTTGAGAGTCTGTATGTCTCTGTGTGTATGTGTGTGTGTGTGTGTGTGTGTGTGTGCGCGCGCGCGTGCGCATGTGCAAAATGTTGGGTCGTGTGTGTGGTATGTGTGTCTTATGTTGGGTTTTGTGTGCGTGTGGTGTGTGTTATGTTGCATTGTGTGTATGCATTGTTGTGTGCATTATATTTGGTTGTTGTGTGTTAGGTTGTATGTGTGCTGTGTTATATTTGATTGTGTGTTATGTTGAGTTGTGTGTGTGTGTTGGGTTGTATGTGTGCTGTGTTATATTTGGTTGTGTGTGTGTGTATGGCATGTTGTGTGTGTGGTATTTTTAGTTCCTCCTGTTTTCCTGTAAAGAATCAGTGATGACTTCTTCCAGGTTCTCCTCCTTTCTGGGTCTTGGGGATGTGGCTGTATTTTCCTGCCTGTCTTACCAAGGGACGCACTGGCTGCTTTAGGTACTCCCTACTCCAAGTTCCCTAGTGTGTGTGGGGGGGTGTCAGTGTGTCTCCATTTAATCAGTGTCTGAAGTCTCTAGTCAAATGGGCCTTGACAACAGCTTGGTGCTGCCGCCCTGACATGTTTGTGTATCTGGGAGGGTCCAAAGTCTTGGCTCTTATGGGGTCCCTGTAGTAACTGTAGCAAATTACCATGGACTTGGTGGCCTAAAACAGAAGGGCTTTCTTCTTTTATAATTCTGGAGTTCAGAAGTCTAAAATGGGTTCCCAGGGCTGTTTCGTTCTGGAGACCCTGGAGAGAATGCATATTCTAGATGTTTCCAACTTCTAGAAACTACCCACATTCTTTTTTAAAACTTTTTATTTTCTATGCATTGGTGTTTGGCCTGCATGTATGTCTCTGGAACTGAGTTGCAGACAGCTGTGAGCTGCCATGGGAACTGAACCTGGGTCCTCTGGAAGAGCAGACTGTTCTTAACCACTGAGCCACCTCTCTAGCGCCCCTCCCCCCCATTCCTTGACATGTGGCCGTGCGTCACTCTGCCCCTGAAGGATGGCTCCCCACACCTGGTGCGATATTGGGCCCACCTGGGTAATGCAGGCTCAGTTCCCATGTCAAGGTCCTTGAACATGTCCCAGAGTTGTAACTGTATTGGCAGGAGTGAAGATATTCTAAACTAAGAATGTGTGCTCCCCTCTTTGGCCACCAGAGTACTTAAGCAGTAGACCTCAAGGAATTGCAAGAAATTGGAATTTCCCTGTGAAGATAGAGGTCTCTGGTCCAGCAGCCAATTAGCCCCTAATAAACACACAAAGTCTTATATTAATTTATAGACTGTTTGATGGCTAGAGCTTCTTACTGGCTAACTCTCTCTTAATTATTAACCCATTTGTATTAATCTAACTATTCCCAATGCTCTTGGCTTACCTGGTTACATCCCGGCATGTTACTCCTTCTGCTTCTACATGGGGTCTCTCCTATCTGCCTTCCTCTCCCCGCCTATCCTTCCTGCCTGGCTACTGGCCAATCAGTGTTTTATTCATCGACCAATAAGAGAAACATACATACAGAAGAACATCCCCTATCATCCCTGGGAGTCTCATATTGGGAGAGGAGAACTGAAGCCTGGAGCTGGCCATAGGGGAGCTTGTCTCCTGAAAGATTTCTTGTAGTTCCATTTTCAGACCTTTTGGGGATGGCTAAGATAGGGAGGGGCAGGGCCACACCCAAACTGTTTAATTACGCATTACCTCCGGCTCTCTATTTGAATCTGAGCTTTGTGTTAGGACCCCCCAAGATGGACCTCTTCATTTGTCCCTCTTTCTAATGTGGTCAAATTGAATACGTCTCCATTTTCTGCTTTTCACTACTTTCTATCTGGCCTGCAGAGGACGGGTGCTGAAATCCAGCCTGTGAAGGCTTCCAGGACCCAGGCTCTGAACTAACAGCCTTTGTTACAGTTTCTTTTGTGAGCTAAAGTAATGTTCTCAAGATTCTGCCAACAGGGACATTTTTGTTGGGGGAGGGGCTCACTTTAACCTCACAACTTAAAGGGGAAAAAGAAAACTGTCTGAGCATGAGTAGATGGGGTGGAACTTGGCCAGCTTGGTCACTAATGCGATTCTATCATTCTATAAAGGTTTCTGGGCCTTCCCTGAGGGTCCACCCCCAACTCCAACCTGTTAACTTCTGAAGGTCTCTCTTGGGGAGAAGGTCTCTCTTGGGGAGGAGGCATAGTCATCACAGTGAGAAGCAGGCTCAAGGCAGGTGCCTGTCCAAGTGCCTTCACATGTAGGCGTCAGCAGCTGGCTGGCAGCTGTGCGGGGTCCCGCCAGGTTGCAGTAGGGGAGGGGAGGGGTCTGGTGGTGGGCAGAGGACATCCCCAGCGATGGAAGAAGCAAAGGCACTTGGAAGTAGGACCACAGGGTTTTAATTAAACACAGCAATATGGCCGCCAGGCAGAACAGGTAATGCTTGGAGAAGAGAAAGAAGACCATCTCCTTGGCAACGTAGATGATGTGGATGAAGATGAAGCAGTACAGGAACATGGCAAACTGGTTCTGGGGGAGCAAGAGGTCCTGGAGGCCTCCCGAGAACTGTGGGGGAAAGAAGATGGCGGAGCTGGCAACACCAGATCTGGATTCAGTCCTGCCCTGACCCTGACCTCAAGGAGGCCACTCAAGTAGTAATACTCCCTTCCCAAACTCACGAGGAAGAATGAGAAAATAAATGGAAAAAATTCCTAGTGAGGTCGCTGGCTCGTAGAGGGATCTCGGTCGTTTTTTATCTTGAACTTGCATTATCTCTCCTGACCCTGGACACCAGGCCAACACAGTCCTTTCTCTCTCTGTCTGTCTTGCCCAGCAGGGTTACCCATGTGAACAAGTTCTCTAGGACTCCAAGGTTCCCAGATCTCTGGTTCTTAGAAATACACATATTTAAGATTTATTTATTCACTATTCAGTATATAGTGTTCTGCCTGCATGTATCCCTACAGGCCAGAGGGGGCACCAGATCTCATTACAGATGGTTGTGAGCCACCATGTGGTTGCTAGGAACTGAACTCAAGACCTCTGGAAGATCAGTCAGTGCTCTTAACCTCTGAGCCATCTCTCCAGCCCTCTTAGAAATATTCTTTGGATATTGTCCCCTGATAGTCTAGTTTTCTGGACCGTGGCACTCTGAAGATGCATCCCTTGAGCTCAAGTGAGTGTCTCAGACTCCCTGTGTCTTGGCACACGTCACGTGGTTAGTGTGGTCCTCCATCCTGGGGTTTGTATGCTCTTTCTGGGGACAGGTAGCATAGTGAGAGATACAGTCTCCCTGACTGTGTGGGGAATTGGGTTTTCAGATGGGTCTGGCTGTGAGTTCTCTTTTCTAAAGTCAGTAACTAGGCTCAGACTTGTTGTACCTGTCATCAGTTTTGGTCTGAGCTAAAGAATTTTCCACGGTTTCTGCTCCACAATATTTTTTAAGATGTCATACTTTAACAGCTAAATGGCAAAGACTGAGATGCCCTAAACTAGTGAGAAATATTAGCTTAGATATATTCACTATAATTAAATTTATTCATCCATCTGTTCATCCTCCCTTTGTCTCCTCTCTCCTTCTAACCACTTAGAAAAAGAGAAAACTATGGAAGCCTCCATAATCAAGTCAAGCTCCACTCCAGGTTTGTTTTGTTTTGTCTTTTGTAGATGAACCATTAGCAAAACACTTTCGTAAGCTATTCCCAAGGGCCCAGACCTTCGATACATCCTTGCTGAAAGCAGCTACAGAAATGAGAAGGCAACTCTGTCAAGACATAAAACTAAAGGGATAGGGAATGATTCCAGTTCTGATGCCCCTGAGGTGAGCAGCAAGGAAGGCAGGAGAGCAGAGGAAAAGATTCAGGGTTCTCTGGGCAGGCAGTGCTCTGTAGGCTGGGGCTCTGTGTGTGACCTCTGCCACACTCTACTGCCTGCATGTTTTAGCCTGAAATGAGGAAGGGGGGAAGGAAGCTGTGGTATGTGTATGTATGTGTGTGTTTATATATACATATATGTTCATATGTGTAAGTTTATATATATAATAGTTATGTATAATATGCTTGTACAGTGAACTCTGTCTTGTTTATATTATACATATATATGTATATATATATATATACACATACATATAGCCCACTCTTTAGACTTTTCAAAACACTACCCATGGCCTATCTTTTAAGCAGCAGAGGACTTTGGAGCTGGAGAGATGACTCAGAGGTTGAGAGCACTGGCTGCTCTTCCAGAGGTTCTGAGTTCAATTCCCAGCAACCACATGGTGGCTCACAACCCTCTGTAATGAGATCTGGTGCCCTCTTCTAAATAAATAAATAAATCTTAAAAAAAAGAAAGAAAAAGAAGCAGAGGGCTTCATGATAAGGATTTTCATGTCATCCAGCAAGGAGAAACATTTTTCAAACTAAAAAGAGAGAAATATGTAGGAGACATGGACCAAGGAGACTGCGGTCGCTAATTTTCCTTTAAGCATGCCTGGGAGGTTATCTAGGATAGGTGAACTGAGGTGGGACTTCCCTGGACTGAGAGAAACAGTGATCCGAGGCCCAGTCCTGACCGAAGCAGTGGGACCAGCCTCCTTGGGGTCCTCTCTGGAGCCGTGAGCCAAAATGGACCCTTCTTCCTTCCTGCAACTGTGTTTGTCAGGGTGTCTGCCACAGTAACCAGACAAGAAACTAGTACCAATAGTATGCCTGAGTTCAATAGTTTCTGCCTCAAATTTGCAACAATTTTCATCCTTGGATATTGAGGAAAAAATATCTAAGACTTTACAAGAATTGGAAAATACCGTGGAATGTGTGTGAATTCTAAAGAAAGGCAAATGTTTTCTAGATATTGGGAGAGGAAAATGTATTCCAGATGTCCTGTTCAATAAGCGTGGCTTGGCTCAGTAATATCGTTTAATGTATAATTAAGCAGGTACCTTGTGAACAAGAAAAAAATAATTAGGAAGCCAGCATGAGTTCCTTGAGAACGAATCCTGTAAAACCCATTTTCTCTTTAACGAACTGACCAGTCAATTGGACAATGATTTGGGTAAAGTAATGCCTTATTCCGGGAAGCCTTTTGACACCGGGCTCAGGACTGGTTTCTTGGGAAAGCTGCAGAAATGGGAGCTGGAGAAAATGTAACGGCTGGTGTTGATTGATGGGACCCCGATGGCCTGTGGTGGGATCTTGCAGTGGGATTTACTTTGGGTCAGATCCTTCTCAACAATTCTAGCCACAGCTTAGACGAGGACAAGCTTCTCAGAACCAAGGATGACTCAGAGCTGGGAAGCAGAGCTCGTCATACATCACAATAAAACTGAGAAGTGATGGATTTAAGCTGCTGCTGGCGGGTCAAGACGCCAATTGCACGAGTTCATAAAAATGGTAATATCTAACCATTACCGGGCACTCACGTAATGTGCGGGCTCATCGCAAGGTGGCTTGCACTCATTCTCTCACTTACTCTTCACCTTGACCCCGTGAGATGGGTTGGACTTCAGTGATGAGCAAACTAAGACTCAAGGGGGATTCGTAATATGTTCAAGGTTAAGTGGTTCACAAAAGCGGTTGAGCCAGGCATTTTACCCAGACCCTATGACTTTGGCGACCAGGAGACACCACTTTCAAGTGGTGACCTCTTTCATCATGAAGTCCTTAGAGTGGTCTGGTCACAGTGATAAGTACCTTATATGGCATTTCACCTCAACTTGTCTTTTGTGACAGGGTCTCATATAGCCCAGGTTAGCCTCAGACTTGCTATGCCACCTTGAGCTGGTCATTCTGCCTCACTTGCTGAGTGCTGGGATCCTGGCCGCCCCCCACATATGCTTTATTTGGTGCTGGAGACCTAACCCGGGGTTTCATGTACACTGGTCAAGCACTCTGGATCACAATCCTTCAGATGGGCACTCTTGTCCCTACAGTAGGGGTTGAATACACATTTCTTGTGAGAACAACGTTGCATTAGTTGGTTCTGAGGCGAGCTGTTCAACAGAGAAAACTCAGCCCTGAAAGGGAGGCGGTGGTTCTGTTGACACTCAGTGGTCAGATCCCAGGGGCTGTCTCCTCCGATACTATGTCTTAAGAGAAACAAAGGTGATGGGAAACCAGTCGTGGTGAGCATCGAACACAGACTATCAAAAAGGGGTGCTAGGTAGAGGGTGTGGTTTCTAAGCACCTCCTACTCTCGGCTCTCTTTGGGGACTTGAATCTCATTTTTCATGGAAGCTCTGGAAGAGTCAGCCAACTGTGGGACGGCGGTTTCAGACCATCCTGCAAACCGACTCAAGGTACCAGAGGCTAGAGGGAGCTGTATGGATGCTCGCCATTTCTCAGCCAGAGAAGGCGCATAGCGGAGCAGGCGCAGTGAGCCCTGTCTTACCTGGGTCCGTGGGGACGGGGGGGGAGGGAACGGGGGACGGGGGGGACGGGAGACGGGGGAAGAAGGACACACGACCTCAGCACTATTCCACTACCTGGCGAGGCAAAGCCTGCTGCTGCTGCTGCTGTAGCTGCTCCATCACTTCCTCGTGCTGCCGCTGCCGTTCGTTCTCCTGATGCAGATACTTCAGGCGGGTCAGCTCAAACTCCATGCGCACCTTCTCCAGCTCCATCGCGTTGTGGTGCTCTGTCTCAAAGGTCAGGGGCAGCTCCGTGGGTTCCGGTCCAGGCCCATCGCCAGCCTGACCCTTGGTGGTGGTAGGGCCAGACTTTGGGGACAGTGACTTAGGGGGCCCTGGGCAATCTTTGTCCTCACAGGTTTCATTCTCTTCCAGGAGGGGCAGTTCTAGCTTTGGGGGTTCTGCATCCTAGGATAGGGAAGAAGGAGTGGGGTGATGGTGGAGTCGATGTGGGGCTCCCCAGAACCGCTCCCTCAGCTTCAAGCCTCAGTAGCCTGGGTGTATTTGCAAAGAGTGACCAGGTAGGGTGGTGGCGGCGGTGCATGCCTTTAATCGCAGCACTTGGGAGACAGAGGCAGGGGATCTCTGTGAGTTCAAGGCCAGCCTGGTCTACAGAGCGAGTTCCAGGACAGCCAGGGCTACACAGAGAACAAAACCAAAGCTGTAGAAAGCAGGGTATGCAGGGCTTCTTGCTAGAAGTGCATTAGAGACTCAAGTACAGCAGGCAAATTGTCACGGAGGGGCGGCGCCCTAACGTTGTAGGCAAGGCACTGGTAGGTGAGGTGGGCATCTGGTTAGGTAGTGGTTCTTGCCGCCACGGAGGTCACTTTTCTATTTCCCACACTTTATCTAACAGTTAGGCAACAGGTCTTTCAGGGACTCCAGAGTGAGGAAGCAGCCTAGGGTCTGTGTTGAGAGAACCAGACAACATATGTGTACCCATTTGCATGCGTGACCTATCCACAGAGAAAAGAAAGGACCTCATATAGAAAGACAGTGACGGTTTCATATAACCTTACGATCCCTCCAAGAGTTAGTAGTCCGCAGCTGGGTACCAGGTATGGGGATGGGACACAGCCCTGCTCTTCTTGGTGGCCTCTGAATCTCACAGCACACGCCCTTAGATTCTAAGGCTTGGTGTCCTCCCCCACCCCTCTGGAATGGCCAGGACAATCCAGGGACACCCTCTTACCAAAGAAGCCTTTGACTTCCCTTCAGGTATGTTGTCAGCAGGCGCCACCTTGGAGAGGGCGGGGCAGCTTTCTCCTGCCCCACGGGCTTCCATCGCCTCTGTGTCCTCTGCCGCCATCTGGATGACCACAGTGCTGCCAGCCAGGACCAGAGGACATACTTTGAGACAGTGACATTTGGCTTCTTCAGGTTCTGGCCACCATCATAATCCCCTATCCTCACAATAGCCACATTCTACCAGTTGCTAGGGCACTTCAGGTTAGAGGCTGTGACACCTGGGTGGTCACTGGTAAGAGCTTCAGGGTGCGGCCTGCAAGGTAGCTCAGTCAGTAGGGCTGCCTGCTGGCAACGCCCAGTCACCTGAATTTGATTCCTGAAATCCACATGGTTCGAAAAGAGAAAGAAAGAGAACTGACTCCTGACATTTATGCCATGGCATATATGTACACTACACACCCCCAAGTAAATGTATGTAATAAGAAATTAAAAATCCAAACGCAGTGAAGATTGGGTCTTTCTTACCTCTCAGGACTGCGTTGAAAACTGGCATGGCAGCTGCTGGCTCCAGAAGCATACTGGATGAACTCCAATCCCTGAGGTTTGCCGTTCACATACAGATTATGTTGGGATGAATCGGTTTCCAGTGCTGAATGGTCCCCAGGACCCCAGAATGTGACTTTATTTGGAGATGGGATCTTCATAGAAGTCACCGCCTTGGAATGATGTCATTGCAGGGTGCCGTGAAGACAAGGCAAGCTCAGAGCAAGAGGGAAGCCTTGTGTGGGGCTCCCCAGAGAAACAGACCAGTAGGCAACATAGGAAGAGAAACATGAGAATCAGCTCACGGGATGATAGAGGTTGGAAAGTTTGTAGCCTCCTGTCTGCAAACTGAAACCCCAAAAGGGCGGATACTGCTAGTCTCAGTCCAAAGACCCAAGAACTAGGCAGGCCCTAGGGCAGGGGCACGAGACCCAGGAACCCGCTAATGCAATCGGCCACATTCAACCTTCCACTTCGTTTTATTAAAGACCTGGGTGGATTGGATGAGGCCCATTCACACTGGGTGTGGGCAGCCTGCTTTTCTTACTCCATTTTCCTTAAAGGTTAGTGTCATCTATCAGCACCCTCAAAGCTAGGCAGGTAAATGACACCTAACAAGGTAACTGGGCATCCCAGGGCCCGGTCAAGTTGACGGGTAAAATGAACAATTAGAGGCTTGAATCAGAGCCTTCTCTGTCCTGGCATTTTTTTTTGTTTGATTGTTTTGAAAAACGGAGCCTGACAATGCTTTGACCCTAGTGTCTAGCTTTCAGTATAAATGTCAGCGGACTGAACCACCCAATCCATGGGACTCTGTTGAAGACTCTCTAGGAAATGAATAGGACTTGAACTGTACATCCCGATGAGGAGAATGGATAACCGTGGGGTGTGTGTGTGTGTGTGAAGATTCTAGAAGGCTGGGAAATACACCTTGTCATCGTTTGTCTTATAAAAACTTTTAACAAAACACTTTCAATAGTGAGGGTCAGGGTCACATGACAGAAGGAGAAAGTGCCACATCTTTTTTTTTCTTAAGAATGTAGTCAACATTCTGAAGCTTTTTTTTTTTTTAAGATTTATTTGTTGTGTATACAGTGTTCTGTCTGTTTGTATGCCTGCAGGCCAGCAGAGGGCACCAGATCTCTTACAGATGGTTGTGAGCCACCGTGTGGTTGCTGGGAATTGAACTCAGGGCCTCTGACAGCAGTCAGTGCTCTTAACCTCTGAGCCATCTTTCCATCCCGGAAGCGCTACATCTTAACTATAGCTTTGCTATCACCGCCTGGGTGACAGCTGTGTATCTGCCCCTTCCTGGTTTCGGCTTACTCATGACAACTGCTAGGGGTCCTTCACGGTCCTGGCCGCACGGCCACTCTCTCTGCCTTCCTGTTTGTCCTAAGTCACTTGAGATTTACCTTGCAAGTTGTTGCAAGGGTGAGAAGAATCGGAGTGACCCGGCTACTAATGCCGGTACTAATGCAGAGACTCTGCTTGTAGTCGCCGGACAGCCTCAGAGTCGGTGCCCAGCCCCGTTGTTCCGTCTGTGGCATGGAAATGGAAGGATGCTCGGAGAGTGGCAGCCTTAGGCTGCGGAGCAGCGGGAGCCACAGGTGGGCCGGGTGCTCTTTGAAGGGGCGGGGCACACAGTGTGCTAAGCTGGAGGACTCATCCTGAAGCACACACACACATCAGTTGCCGGCTTGGCAAAGAATCCCACGCGTGAGTACAGCCCTCTCGAGCTTTCGCGCACGCTTGGTTCTCAGGATGCCCCCCCTTGCGAGGCAAATGCGAACCAGGTGCTGCTACTGCAGCCTGATCTGCAGGGAAGCTGGGCTCGCGGAGCGGCCAGGTGAAGTGGATTTGGGCTGGAATGCGGGTTTTGATTTCTTGCCCCCGTGTTTGAATGCAAGTCCATAAAGGTGATCTTTGGGGCCTTCTGCTGTAAGATGCCAGGCGTTTTCTGCATCGTGAAACAACAACAACCGAGCTGGTGTATCAGAGAGGATTTTTACAGCCTTGTTTGTAACAGCAAGCCTGGGAGCCACTTAAACTTCATCAGAAGGAGCTCATCAGATAACTAGTGCTGCGTCCAAGTCGGAGCTGCTAAGCAGAGCCAGGTGTGGTAGCGCAGGCCATAATCACTGCAGTTTGGAGGCTGAAATACAACGACTGAGACTTCAGGGCCACGGTGGGTTAAGTCATGAGATGCTGCCTCAAGCAAAACAAAACAAGGCAGATATTTTATGAGAAGAAAAAAAGAAAGACAGTAGCTGCGTTTACATCAGTATCTGGTCCTCGGAGAGAGAGAAAATTCAGAAAAGCAACACCAGCAACCCTGCAGGCACTAGTGTGTGAAAGGTGAAATGTGAAAATACGCCGAGTCCATCATCCGTGTGTAGAGCATGTCTGAGGAAGACACAGAGGAGCCTTTTCCCAAAGGTGGTTCTGAGGTTAGAGAGCCAAGGGGCCGGGCTTGGCAGTGGTTCCTTGTTAACTATGCCGTCTGCATTCCGACTTTTAAAAATGTGCATGTATTATATTTTACTTACAATTTCAAAGTGTGCCCGGAGGAGAGAGATCGGCTCAGCGCAGGTGAAGAGGTTGGGATGCGTGATCTGAAGGACAGGCAGTCTGAGAAGTGCTTTGTCCTATGGGACCTGCTAGTCTATTCAGTCAGAGGTGACTGCATTGAAGCAGCCCCTCCCTTCCTGGTTCCTCAGCTGTGAGCTCTGAGATACTCTGCTCAGGTGTGCTGGAGTGGCTTAGAGGGTTATTATTTTTTAAGATTTATTTGTTCATTTATTTATTATGGATACAGTGTTCTGCTTGCATGTATCCCTGCATGCCGGAAGAGGTCACCATATTTCATTACGGATGGTTGTGAGCCACCATGTGGTTGTGGGGGAATTGAACTCAGGACCTCTGGAAGAGCAGTCAGTGCTCTTAACCCCTGAGTCATCTCTCCCGCCCTGGTTTAGAGGGTTATAATGGTAACCGTAGCAATGGCTTATGGCTATTGGGTGCTAACTATTTGCTGGACACTGGAGATTTTTTCATGGTGTGCTGTGATTAAGTTTCAGAACAGCCTAGAAGTTAGCGCTACCACTATCTATAGAGGATAGAAACCACATTATGGAGAGAGCACCCTAGCCATAGCTATATAGCCAGGAAAGAAACCAGGATTTAAGCACAAATGTCCCTGTATTAGGAGATCTCTTTGGACTTGGGATAGTGGGAGTGATTCCTGGTTTCTTAACCCAACCGTGCTGAGACAAGGATGCTCAGGAGAGGAAGTGACTAGAGATGCTCTGAGGATCTGTGGAGGAAGATACATTAGAGCGGAGGCAAGGGGCTGCCCGCAGCATCCCGGAAGCCTGGAGCAAGGGGCTGCCCGCAGCATCCCGGAAGCCTGGAGGCTGTGTGTGTTGTAACCATCAGAGCCAGGAAACAGAACCCACAGTGGTTCCAACAGCGAAGGGAGGAGATACAAAGAAAGATCAGTTATGGCAGGTTGAGAAATACAAGAAACAAAGAAGGCAGGGTCTGGAGAGGTGGTTCAGTGATTAAGAATACTTGTTCTTATGGAGGACCGGGTTTGGTTCCCGGCACCCACATGGAGGCTCACAACCATCTGCAACTCCAATTCCAGAGGTACCGCATCCTCTTCTGGCTCCCCCGGCTCCAGGCACACACAAGACACACACATGTACATGCAGACACTCAAGCATACACATAAAAAAAACTTTAAAACTTGCAGGAAGCTGAGGTTCGTGAGATGGCCGGCGTATGGTGGTGGTGAGGTGCTTGCTGTACACATATGAAGATCTGAGTTTGGGTCCTCGCACCCATGTAAAAGCTGGGTATGTTGGTGCATGTCTGTGATTCCGGCACTGGGAAGGTGGCGAAGGGGAGCTCTGTGTATCACTGGCCAGGCAGGCAGTCTAGCTGGATACAGGGGTTCAGGGTTGAAGGTTTCCCCTCATGGAAACTAAGGTGGAGTCATTGAGAGAGACACAGGGCCTCAAGCTCTGGTTTCTATATTAATCACATGGACCCACACGCATGCGCACACCACACATAGGCACACACACAGCGCACACACAAAACAACACATAAAACACATACAAAACCTATAACACACAGCACACACAAAACACACAACACAAAGCACCCATATAAAACATACAACACACACACCACACAAAACATATATACAAAACACACACAACACACACATATAAAACACATACACCACACAAAACATACATACAAAACACACCACACACACATCATACATACATACACACACACACACACACACACACACACACACACACACACGCGCGCGCGCCACAGAAAAGAAAATATTGTGAGAGGTGTTCCTAGAGGCTGAGATTCAAACCTTACAGCAGAGACTGTGGTCAGGCACTGAGGTCAAGGTCAAGGAAGTCATCAAGACCGGCAAGCTTGCAGGAATGCCAACAAAACTCTCTGGGAAGTTGCCCAGGAGATGGTGAACTTGCCAGAAGTCACCACAGAAAATCTCAGCGGGCAGGGACTAGCCACAGGCACCGCTGGAGCTCTGGAGTGGCACAGCCGCCGAGGTGTTTGGCACTGGGGTGGCACACATGCAGCATTTAGGAAAGGTGCCCTAGAATCAGAAAGCAGAACCACGGGG